CGATTTGCAGCCGTGTTTAATACCCTGTAAATTGCTCAGCTTGATGAGCATTTCAATTGGCCTTTATATAATATTTCCCTGGGGTTCCGGAATTGTCGCACATGCGGCAGCAAATTAAATCACAACTGCAAATGCAGTCGCACGCAACTGCCAGTTGGGGGTTGTACGAGAGAGCGTGGGCGTGGCAAGTGCGTGCACCATATGAATGGCAATTTGTAGCGTACATCTGTCACATAGACACCTACACATACACACACACACAGAGAGATCATCAATCGAAATATGCGAGTGCGTCAAAAATGATTACATCAAATGCAATGCTCAATTTCAGTTGGTGGTTGCCATTGAGTAATTGATATAATGTCAGACCTTGTCGCCCACTTAATGTTCGAATTGTCAACGGGATTAGTGACCAATGCACGGAACAATGGGGGTTGGCCGGGCCAAATATGTTCTATATAGAGCGTGCTCTAATGCCGATATTCGTTGCAATTGTCCGACCATTGTTCGTCGGCCGCTGGCATCATTATCATTATCACAGCATAGCTGTTCGCAGTTCGCAGTTCGCATTAATTTGTGCATATGTGTGAAATTCTTTTGGTAATTAAAGCGGGGAGCAGCTGGCACATGCAGCCATCAATTTTTCATTTGGAAAATGTAATTAATGCGCGCCATTGTTAATCGTCGGGCATTTGCATAAACCTATTCAACACCTAGAGAAATGCCCACTGAGAATAGACGGAGAGCTGATGAAGAGGAAGAGGAAGAGGAAGAAGAGAAGAGGTTGTCAATTTGGGAAATTTGCAAAACAAAAGCGTTTGCCAATGCAAATGGACGTCTTCTTCTTCTTCGGCTGCTGCTGCTCCCCCAATGACTTTATGCATTCAAATTAAGATGGGAGTAAAAATTAATTTGACAGCAATTTGTGGCGCCTCCCCCTGCTGCTGCTGCCACTGCTCCTGCTGCAACAGCTGCAGCTGCTATTAAAATTCCTTTTGGCCAAATCCCTGGCCCTGACTCCAGCCCAGCTCTGATCTCTGCGCAAATAATTACTCATTGTCATTGTAATTGGCGTGCGGGCGCTAAATGGAAGGCACAGGCCGTGAGGAACTGCGGATGGGGCGCACGATTTGTGACATTTTTGCTCGCCGCCCCAACTTGATTATTTGTGAGCGATGAGTAAGCAAAACGGGAGGCCAAAGAGCCAGGCAAGGATGCTGCTCGATTACTTAGCAGAGATGAGGAGAACGGGGCAGGTGCTGCTGAAGCATTTTGTATGACCCTACAATGGGTGTTAAATCTATGCTCCTGCACAGGGTACGTGAATTTCGACATGTGACATGTAGAGGGGGAAGATTGTATAGTAATAGGCCAATAGCAGAGCGAAGGTAGCAAGGATCTAGTGAGAGTAGTGTAGAGGAATTATCCTGAGAAAAATCTTATTTTGTAATAAATAGATATAACTTTTTATTGAATAAGTTTATACAGATGAGTAGAATAATGTAGATATATAAAGACAATCTAAAGTTCACATATGATATATATATTATGATGAGTAGTCCGATTCTATAAATGATATATCATATAAAGTGACATCTATTCATCAACTTAAGGGTATTTAATATTCGCCAACTTAAAGTTCACTTTGTGCTTCTTCGTGTTCATTTATTGTGCTCGTCTGTCCAGAGGGGCGTTCAGCTGCTGATGATCCCCCATGGACGTTGGGTTATATTGTGCGCACGTAGTGGAATTTTCATTTTATGTCATTTCAATTTTCCTGCCTTCAGTTCTCTGTTTTTATAGACGCAACGAAAATGAATTGTACGGAAAAAAGGGTTCAATTGAAAGATGCAACAGCAACAACAACCACAACAACAACAACAATCAATTGCTCGTTGTCTGCCATTTTTGGCTTGCCAATGTATGTGTGTGTGTGTGTGAGTGTAAATGCTTATGTGTGAGTGTAAGCGTTGCCTTTGGGACTTTGTTGACGTGCCATGAGATATATTGTTGTTTGTTTGTTTGTTTGTTGTTGCTGTATTCTGTCGTTTTCCTTTTCCTTATTTTCTTTTCTCTTTTTCGTGCGAGTCTTTAGCTAGAGTGGACAAAGTCCAAGACAACTTGTCCAATCTCGGCCCATTGTGCATTAGTCATGAGCAACAAATTACCTGCGACATGTGAGAAACTGCCAGGCGAGCGCGTTGACAGCTCTGTGCCGGCCCCTTTGGGGCACAAAGTGGCTAGCAAGCTGGCATGCCACTGCTGTGGTGCAGCAGTGCTACAGCAGTGGTGCAGCAGTGGTGCGCAGTGTTGCCGCTAACAAGCTCACAACTACAAACTAATCATTTAATTTTGTTTTCCTGTTTGTTCTTCTAATTGCAGGTAAGCTTATTACACTGTACTACACAGTATGAGTAACAACAGCAACAGTAACAACAACAACAATTGCTATTCGGCGTAAGTGCTTGTCTACAATATTAATTAGTTTTAAATGCAATTAAATACATATGCCAACAGTCCCACTTTCCCCTCGCTCTCCCTCTCCCTCTCTCTCTCTCTCTCTTTCCTTTTTTTTCTGGCCATCTGTGCACTTAGCCAAAATTTAGCTAAGCACAGATGAAATTTTAATTTTAAAACAATAAATCAGTTGACAAATGTTTGCAACTGCATAATTTACGCACAATGCGCATGCATTAGTGTATGTGTGAGTGTGCGTGTGTGTGTGACTTTGCCGCACAATTAGAAACACATTAAATATTTAATACGCGCGCGTCATGAATTATACGCATAAACATTGTTTTCAGCGCATTTGGCGAATATTTTGTGTTTGTTTGTTTGTTTAGCCGCAGCCCCATGTAAAAGGCCTGATTAACGCGCTGAGCCACTTCATCATAGATTAAACATAACCAAAAACAAACACACCTGACACGGAAATTAATTAAATGTGTAAACAGGCGAGCTAAGCTGGCCCGAAAAAACACACAAAAAAAAAGCCAAAAATACCAAAAATATTTAAAATTTAACAGCATATTTAATTGAAGTTGTCTCAAATTATTAAAGTGATGCTTAATGGCTTCATAGAAACTGGCTAAAATATCAATGGCTATCACTTCTACTAGCTCTTTGTGCTCTTTCCTTTGCCCATAGTGGAAAAGCAATTTCCAGTTGGTTTTTATTTGGCTCGGTTCGATTTATGCATATGTCGACATTTTATGGCTGCGTTTTACAGTTTGCTTGCTTTTTGCAAACTATTTCATTTCGGCTACTGCTACTCGCTTTAGATGTTTAGTTTCGGGCGCCACGCCCCCTCGGCCAACGCCCCCGCAATGGTGGTAGCAAAAAATCAATCAGCCAATGCTCAATAAAAACCAAAAACTAAGGGCCATGTGAAACAGTCATAGAGTCGCCCACACACACACACACACACATACACTCGCACTGTGAGCTCTTGGTTCGGCAATCAAGCACATTTATTATGCATTTTTCATATGACGATTTTCATTTTTATTTATTTCTTTTTTAGCACTTCAAGTAGAGCCATTTAAAAGCGACCACATAAAAAGCACACACAAATACATATACACATGCACACACACACTTACACACACACACACACACACACACATGTATGGAATGCCAATGCAGCCTTTATGTCTATGCATGAGTAAAGCTGCTGCTGCAGGACATACATATATGTGGCAGTGTGCGTGTGTATGTGTGTGTGTGTGTGCGTATAAAAAACGCAAATTACCCGCATTTTTTACAAGCGGTTTATTGAAAATTGAAATTTATGCGTCGCATCGTGTCGAGAGACTACATTGAGCAACTGCATAGCCATAAGTCCCTTCATATATTATAAATACAGCCACACACACACACACACACACACTCACACACGCGTGTACAGAATGCTATCAATATGCATATATATCCGGTGCTGATCCCTGTCGTATCGCTGTCATCTCTAGTAGACACTTCACTCGCCACATCGATAAACGTGCTGGCACTTATTGATTTTCGTGCCGCTCGCGCCGTGGCAGACGGCGAATTCATAAATTTAAATGGCTGGCAGGCACTTAAAGTAGACGAAGAAGAAGAAGAGGAAGAAGCCACCGAAAAACGAAGGCATAAATCATGCAACTGCTGCAAAGCATTCATTTGTTTACATCGCCAGCCACCTGCCTATCCACCTGCCCGGTCTAGCTGTGCGCAGTGCAGAAGGGTTGCAAAACTTGTGGCGTATCGCTTACCGGCGTCAAGTCCAGGCGATCAGGCGCACGCCTACAGCCCAGCCCAGCCCCCGCCCTGGTCGCCACGTAGTTGTCCTTTGGCTTTTCACACATTTGCATATCATTTGCTTGAACGGGGCGGGAACGGGGATCTAAAAGTGTGGGCGTGCCCGTGCTGCTTATCGCCGGGCGACACTTGCCGCGCCGCATTCACTTGCCTACCACTTGCCACTTGCCACTTGCC